AAAGTTTCTAATAATTGCGATATTAACATTTTGTCGAACGCGGTCATTTATTCTATTCCTTTTCCATGATTGTTTAAAGTCTGTCCAATATTTACAATCCTTTATCTATGTTGATGGCTTCTCTGTTTATTAGGTATTTATCTGATCATGGTTATAATTCGGCAACCGATTCGGGTAATGTTATGGACATACAGAAAATAGTAAAACGACTGTTAGATGTATGTATTGATTCTTTGAACCTTTATAGTGTTGATTATTTGAGACATTTAAATGAACCAGAAAAAAATAAATTATTTATAGCTTGACTTAAGAGAGATTGGAAGTGGAAATGGAGATATTAATCAGGGCAATATTGTGTTGCAAATACAAAAGATACGTAATGTAGCTGCACCCAAAGGTAATGAAGAATCAAGAGCAGCTCCAAGAATGTTAAAATTATCGTTGACAGATGGAAAAAATAATTTTCAAGCTTTAGAAGTTGAACATATATCAACTTTAAGGTAAATGTATTTAGATTCTTTTATAGTAAATTTGGTCATTTGTACTATGTTAAATTAGTCCATACTACAAGTTGCTATGTATAAAATTAGCGAAGTTAAATGTAAAAGCATATAAGTACATGTATATTTTAAACAATTATGCTATTTAATAATATTGTCACGTTATTTAACAGGATATAATAGGTACAAATATTATTCATTATCAGAGTTAATTATATTGTGTCACTACACTTAGATACTTTATATAAAATCACCCTTAATATATACTTCAGTATAATATCAGTGATTGAATATTAACCCTTATTTACTCATGTTACAATCATTCTTACAATTATTTCTTCTAATCATCTTTTTTATATGTGGTAGCTTAAACACACCACCTGGTACAAAGATACTGATAAAGACAGGAACCTTACCTATGTCACATGGACTTCTTTTGCTGATACCATCGCATTTGATTTATGTGCTTGGGGGAAAAGTTGTTAATTTAGTGGAAAAATGGGAATTAAATAAGGTAATTCTCATTTTATTTAATGAGAGATATTAATATTTATTATAATAATACTTAATTCTATTTAATGAATATATTATATGAGAGACGCTTTTGTTATAGAAATTAGCTTTGCATACTCGAGTAAGATCTACTGAAGAAGGTGGACCACCACCATGGATACCATTTGGTAAAAAAATCGTAAAAGTATCGGAGCAAGATAAGAACTTTAAAGCTCTGGCAGAAAAAGAAAAACCTAGCAAAGAGAATACTGAATTTGAAACTCAGCGCAAGGATGCTATAGCAGAAGCTGCCAAGCAAGGCAATAAGAAAGTATTTGGTGGTGGAAATAAACAGGTTTGATTTGTTTTTTTTACATTTTTCCATTAAATTAAATGTTTGCATCCTTGTCTAAATATTTAATTTATGTGCGCTTTCCGCAGTTATTGGATCATAGTGTACAAAAAATTGTGGATCGTGGATTTACCATAGAGCAGGCAGAATATGCTTTGAGAGTTAATAGAAATAACGTAGATAAAGCTTTAAGAAGCCTGCAAAAGATCGACACTAAACATAAGTAAAAGAATTAATTTTTATATTTTTCCTATTTTTCTTTACTCAAACTATATATTCAATTATTATTTAATTGCATTCTTATTACAGTAGTGCCAAAGAATCTCGAGAACCGCGAGAGCCACGTGGTAAACGGGATAAGAAATCCGACGAGAGTAAACCTAGCAGTGGAAAAATATCTCTATTCGACTTTCTCGAGGATAAGTTACCTATGCAACCCGAAAGTGTCGAAACAACTAATTTATCACAAAGTAATTACATGCAAAATAATGAAAGTAATCAGGATCGTTACGAATCGAGGGGTACTGAAGCACAAAGTGGAAGAGGTGGACGGTACATAACTATCTTATTAAATGGAGTTTTATAATAATTAATAACGTATTGTACTTCTAATATTGATTTTTTTTTAACAGGAATCAAAAAGGTGGTCGCGGTTATCAACCACCTCCGAGATATTCAGAGGAACACAGAAATAGTAAAAAGACAAATAATAGTAATTCCACCGTGTATTCGCAATATAACGGTGTTAATCACGTACCGCAGAATAAACCACCGCGGTTTCAACGTAATCAGGAACCTCAGTATCAGTACCAACACGACGGAGGTAGAGAAGCGTATCAGAAGTCTTCTCAGCCGAATGATTACAGAAATACGTTTGCTCAGTCGCGCACAAGTAACGCAAACGTCGATAGTGGTAACGATAACTATAATAGAATCCACGCTGAGTTACAAGGAAAGAATCTCGGTAGTAACAGAAACTATAATCACCTCGAGCCCGAGGCCAAAAATAGGCATTCTTATGATGCTTCTTATAATAGGCATAATCGAGCTCAACAAAATGGAACGTCTAAAGTATATTCATCTAATACAACTGAACAGAATTTTAAGAGTCAATCTAGACATCAGTTGAATAGTAACGTTGGGAATAAGATGTCCATGAATCCTAACGTGCAAAGAAACGAGAACAATTATGGTAATCCTAATATCACCAGTACATGGGTATGGCAAGTAGGTGACAAGTGTATGGCTAAATATTGGGAAGATAATAGAGTATGTATTATATATCTTTTTATATATGAAATCTATTTTATATTAAAATTGTGAATTGGAAATGTGGATTTCTAAAATGCTTATGCCATTTATTTTTTAAACTTTTCGAAATTTTCAATCAATTTTATATAATTAAATTTTATTATAATACATAGGTCGGTTAGAATCGAACTAAGAATCTGTTAACTATAAGACGATTGGTCTTACTCATTGTCAGAATCATATGTCGTTCTATCTTTTTCTTGTACTTTGCACATAATTTAATTATATTTGTATGATACTTACAGTACTATAATGCCGAAGTTACTGGTGTTTCCGAGAGAACTTGCGTAGTGCAATTTAAGGGATTTGAAAATTATGAAGAAGTACTCCAGGTCGATTGTATACCAATAACAGACGATGTATGTAAAATAGTACAAAGTAAAATTACGATTACAATGGTCGCTAATAATATTCCTTGTCAATAATTTTAGATTCAAGATCATATTCCGGAAACGAGACGACAAGATCAGCGTTCTAACAATCGACAGCGTTACGATCAGAGTCACAATCATATAAATGGTGAGTAACAAAGTTTGTATCTTAATATTAAATTTTGTATTATTTGTATTTTTCATAGTTTATACATGAAACATTGCAGTCAATATAATTTAATTAAAAATGATGATTGCAGCAGGTATGGAATTTCGACGAGGCGGAAGCGGTGCCGTTGGCGGAAATAAAGGGTATAATAAGAAACGAGGTCAGCAGCGAAGTACACAACCAATTTATCAACCACCAGCGCAAAGAAGCTACAATTCTCTGCCAATTAATAATCAAAATAATACTCAACATAATTCTTTTCTTTAATGTAACTCTAGTCTCGCATCTTTAGTAAAAAAAAAAAGTAAATTCAGATCTTGCTAAGTATTGAGGCAATGCATTCGCTACTGAGGATTGATCTAACAGGTTGCCACACTAACGAAGATTTTAGATACTGTTTATATTAACCGTTGCTAGGCGGCGAGCTGGGTGCCACATTTAAGTTCTGTTGCTGAATTGAATACGCAATAACTTAATACGAAGTAAGTTTTTCACGAAAAGGAGGAATTAGGAGGCTCTTATTGTAAAATATCGACTGTGTTCTCGAAATATTATATTATTTATATTGTAGAAAAATTGATTCTTACTACACACAAAACACACACACACATACACAAAACAGGGCAATGTCTGTACCTCGTCCACTTTAGCTGTAATACAGTGTAATAAAATCTTGCTCGTTTTATTTTTCTGTACCCACAAACAATCATTAGGCCTGTTCTTGTTCTCTGCACTGTCTGAACTGGTGCAGACAGTGCAGGCAAAAAGAACAAGCCTATAGAGAGAGAGAGAGAGAGAGAGAGAGAGAGAGAGAGAGAGAGAGGTGTTTTTCGAAAATCTCAGAAAGTGTAAAGCCTTGAATCATACGAGTCAATTAGTATTATCTTTCATGATATTTTTCGAAAATGTAACCATAAGCTAAATTGATTTTGCACTATTTTGAATATTATTTGGTACAATACTCGATAAATTAAACTTAAATAATTTGTTATAAATTAGAATTAAGCTTGATATTAAATCTTACCTAAAATAAATTGCTGATATACAAATTCAAAATTTATGATAAAAAATTTAAATACATTAATTTAATATTAGCAAATATAATTTCGCAAAATTATTCAAAATTAAAAAATTGTTTGCACATTTACATATTCTAATACAGCAACATATAATATATTTCAAAAATTTTAAATTTCGAGGTAGCGAGATAAAATATATTTTTCAAAATTTAAAATTTAGGGATTTTTTTACCAATTGATAACAAAATTATCAATTTTATGATTTGTGTGTGTATGTGTGTGTGTGAAAAAAATTAAATTAAGAACAAATAAAAATTTCGCCGTAGACTTTAATAAACTGATTACATACTCTGCATTATTGTAATTTAAGTGAAAGAGCGTTGCAACAGAGAGCATGGTGGAAAGAACTTATACTCTTGCGTATATACATATTTTTAACAACCAATGAGAACGTGACACACCATATGCCACCATGTTGCCGCGGTTTATTTAAATTATGCATTATGATATAATAAAAATTTAATTTTTTACAAGCTTTTTTTACGAATATTAATACCTTTATCTTTAAGAAGCGATAAAAATGTAATAATTATACATTTTTATGAGTTCTGATAATTATTTCTACATGTTTTTATTTAGCAAGTAATCATTTTGTCTCTCGAGCTGTCATTTCAAAATTACCGCGGTACAAATATTTAAATGGCCGTATTTGGAATCTGCGCAAAACCGTACGAAATTCGTCTTGAGAACGAACACATCTATCTTACTTTCACCATGGCAGACAGCTGAGAGCAACTCTCAGAGCAACTAACAATGCGGCTTGGTTTGACCCTGTTAGCAGCTCTTCATATAAATAAAATACCATACAGATTCAGAGGGTGAGTACTTTTCTTTCATGAGAATTAATTCTCATTTAGTTCAACTTATTAGGAGTAATGTGGTTTTAATTTTTCATAACGTATAATATTACTTTTTTATCGTCACGTGGAATACTCGTAACTGTAAATTTTTACTTCATGCAGGAAATATCGTAAAGTTAAAAAACCGTCAATGCATGATTTACTTAAGATGAAGAAAGATTTCGAGAGGGAAGAACAAAACATGTTGATTCTTCGGCATCCTTATCTCACACGTGAACAAAGTCATGGCTACATGAAGGACATGTATGCCGGAAGCAAAACGTACGAGTTTTTCCAGACGAAGATGGCAGAAAATCGTCAGAAGTTCCAGAAAGAAATTACTATCGCTGAACGCCTGTGCCACATGAGAGTTACAGAAGCGTGGGATTGAAATCTTTCTACAGATTGTGTAATTATGTTTCATAAATTGTTTTAGGTTTAAATTAAATGAATACTGAAACGACATTTAATTTTCTTTCTTTTTTTTTTTAATATTTTGGATCGGTACAATGCCGAGTATATTACATAGAGTATTTCTCTTAGCATAGGAAAGATAAAGTGTCGTCAAATATATTACATAAGTTTATCTAAAAAGATTGTTGTACATGGCAAATTACAACGTAAAAGTTAAGATTAATACTGTAACATTGTTTTAAAGCATTAAATTATGTTGTTTATGTTAAATAGACTCATGCTTGAGCATCAACTAGAAAGCTTTCTTGAAACCGAGTTGATATATCTTTTGGCTTATTTTTCATCCAACCAAATGGATCTGTATTAATTTCTTCTTCTGTTAAGGTCTTTCCCTCATACAGTAAATTTGCAAAATTTGCTACAACTGGATCAGCACTAACACTGCTCATTCCAATTACTTTGCTATCTTTAAAATAATAAGCGAAAAATTCCAGTTTATCCAGTGAACCATAAATCTTTATGCTAGTAGGTTTCCCATAGCCTGAAAATAAATTGATATTGTTTAATTGTTAATTTTTTACAAAATTCGGTTATTATAATTTCGTGTAAAAACATGATACAGATATGTAAATTTACCTGCATATCTGTAATTTTTGCTCAGTAAATTCGTCCAGAAGAATGGTACAGTTTTCAAAGATGTTTCTTTGCCGCATATATTTAGAGCCGCAATTTTACCATGATAATGAGCTAGAGAATAATGGCCTATTGCAGCGACTGTGTCGTCAGATCCATATATCGGTGCATAAGCTATGTCACCTCCAGCATATATATTTTCTACATTTGTTCTTAAATGCTATAATTTAATATTCAATTATCTAAATATGAAGTATATACTAAGAAAAGAATACTGTGCTCGAGTGTTATACCTTATTTACTGGAATAGTGCCATCGTCCCTTATTGTGACAGAAGACTTTTTCATCCAATCAGTGTAAAAAGTGGATCCTATTCCAACAATAACTATATCTGCTGGTAGAATCTGACCATCTGTAAGTTCGACTTTAGCCAAAATGCTTTCTTCACCTTCCTTAGGAATAAATTGCTTAATATTATTCTGGAAGATAAACTTCACACCTGAAAACATTATTATTATTATTATCTAATGATTTTAATCAATACTCATGCATACCAATACACAATATTGTATATTATGTATAACAATACCTTTTGCCTCATGCTCTTTTTTAATTCTATTACCAATGGTTGCCCCGAATATCGCTCTGAGAGGTACAGTATCACGTCCTATTACTGTGACAGACGCGCATTTATTGATACAATAAGCCGCGGCTTCCATGCCAATAAAACCTAATCCTAGAACAATTACATGTTTCTCGGGCGACAGAAGCGCATGTACGCCTTGTGAATCGGTATAATCTCGCAGAACAAAAATATTCGATAAATTTGCTCCTGCCACATTTAGCATTCTCGGTTTACTGCCTGTGCAAACAAATAGATAATCATACACGATGTTCTCGTTATTGCTCAGCTTGATAATATTTTCAGTCGTATCTAGACCTATAACAGAATTAAAAAATGTACAGAATATGAAGTAACATGATTTATATATATATATGATTTATATATATATATATATATATTACATACATATATTGAGATTGATTTATTTTTTATATGTACCTATTGCTTTTACTCCTAGTTTCGTTTCGATGTTGTATTCATTGTAAAACGAGGGCAATCGTAATGTCGCAGAATGAACATCGAAATCTAACACTTTGGATACCTTTATTCGATCGTAAGGGATCACATTTTCTCTGCATACCATAATAATGCGTCCTGCAAAGCCCTCTTGTCGCAAACTTTCTGCACAGGTCGCGCCCGATGGTCCACCGCCAACTATTATGACAGTTTTTGTATTTTCAGGATTACGTGCAGACATATCCTTCATACGTTTGTTATTATTCAGCTCTATACGTTTGGCTCTTACATGGACAAGGCCAGTTTCGTCTACGCGAACCTATTGAAGCAATACATATAAAAATAATATACTAAATATAGGATAAGAATAATCTTGATAAGTTTGTAAGTTACACGAGTACCTTGTAGCATGGTAAAGAATCCAAGCCTGGATAATCTTCAATGTCCCCAGTTTTAATATTGAAACATGCACCGTGCCATGGACATCTCACTCGTCCTTCCCCTAATGCACCGGTATGTAGCAGAGCACCGTAATGTGTACATTTGGTACCAATCGCGTGCAATTCTCCATTTTGTTTAATCAACAAAATTTTTTTTTCACTATCCCCCAACGGTAGCATTTTCATCTCATTTTCGTTGATATCTTCCTGCTTACAAACCACTTCCTCAATATAGGTGTCATCATGCTCTTTTGAGGTACCTAAGAAGTATGAAAAATAATTTATAATTTAACTATTTATAATAATCAGTAGTTTATTATAGATGCCTATTATTAGAGGGACACAGCAACAAATGACTCACCATAAGGGTAACCACAAAACAAGAATATACATCGCAATGTTTAAGATATATTTTCTGTCGTATTCAAAAGAATAAATAACTATAACTCTTATGATATATGAATCATAATGCAGTCAATTCTAATCCTATATTGGCATATGGATATAAACATAGACAAACATAAAAGCGAAATGTGATATTTTCTAGTAATTGTGTACCTAATCAATCTAATGCATGCAAGAATTTCATTCAATTTCTTCTCTATAATAGTAAATAATAGAATGTTTTTGACAAATGACAAGCTTATTTAGCTTAGGTACATTCAAATTTCCATCTGAGTGTTTCTCAAGTATTCATTTTATTTTCGTTTAACATTCGATGAACAAAAATAAAATGATACCTGGATGACGTTCAAATAGGAGTCTGAATAGCCTTTGAAATTTGAATGGCAGGCGTTACTTCCAATCGATTGCATCATCAAATATTTCTGTAGCGATATAAAAATTCTTATAAGAAACGCATATAACAAATATATAACTTCCATCGATTATGTAATGCAGGATATAAATATAAGGAAATCTTGAGAAAAATAAAATTTGTGCTGTCATTATCTCGTACGTGAATCGGGAGTCGTACTGCTCGATAGGGTTATCAGTGATTTGAATGACGATTATTAGTGATAATTTTTCTTGAGAGAGAGAGAGAGAGAGATGCAAAGAGACGACTATCAATCCGATTGGACTCTCTCCCCGTTGACCTCGTTGTGTGATGCATCGACGCGATTCGCGCGTCGCGCACGTGGCATGGATGTTATGTTGGTTGTGCATAATTGTTATGCATCTTCCGACGCTCCAAAGAATGCATGAATAAAATTAAAAGCGTAGCAATGAATATTAATGCAGAGAATAAAAACAGAAGAATATTCCAATCTAATACAATAATAAAAAAATTAATCAAATTTACAAAAATTATTAAAAATATCAATATTTATTGATCTTGCATTTTGGTCAAGATTTGAACATTAGTTTGAAATATATATCAATGTTCATGCATATTGTCTTCTTTTTTTCTAATGAAAATAGAAAAATACATAATAGCTGTGAACCTTCGCAATATTCATTTCATAATTTTATTCTTATTGTTAATTCAATGTTAAATACAAAAATAAATGATGTTTATAACTCACAAACATTCTTACATATTTTAAAATCATTGTAAGTAATGTCTTAAAATGCTAATATGGCTCTCTGGTTGGTATTTATATTCATTAAAAAAATTAAAATATATAAATGAAAATTTAAAATAAAAATTAAGTTTTTAATTTATAATATTATTTTGATTTTGACGGAATTCAAGAATCGTGTCACTATGAATTCCAGTGTACTTTAGGTTAACCGCGTTCCATTTAACGCTCACGAATATTGTTTGTCCTTCTTTAACATTTAATAAACAACAAGAATGAAATGATTCCATAAGCATTGTGAGCGTTAAATGGAACAGCCGTAGACAGCACTGCTACGAGCACGATATTACACATATCAATCGTTATTTACTTAATAAAATGCAACACAAACGAGTTCTCTTACGAATTTCCCTACCGATCGTTTCATACTTATTTTTAACTTTAAACGCTACAACGCACATCATAAAGTAAGCGTGATTCAATTATACGCCCATTCACAGAAACGCAACGTACAATATGTAATCTGTACTTTATTATCTCTATTTGACATTTACTATAACCTCTAACGAAAAAAAGCGTATCTTTTACACCAGTCATGAGCAAACACTAACGTTATTCTTTCGAATATTCGGTAATCGGTAAAAGTATTATCCCATATTTATCTTCGCGTATGTGCCTTATTAAGTGTCATAGACACCTACCCTGGACAAAACGTAAAAACGACATATTTGTCAAGGCAGCCCACTTCCATCCGAGCGCGAGTGTCCTAACACTCCTAACACACTGCATCGATCCTCACAAGGTACTGAAAACTTACTACGATTTGAGAACGCCCGTCCTCGTGCTACATAACATGAACGCCGTTTCTTATAAAGCGCAAATCACTATCTATAATAGTTGCGTGTAACCGTCAGTAATTAAACGCTTTAGCGTGATTCACTTCTTGTATAAGAATATTAAGAAATATTTTAAAATTGAGAAACACACAGATGGTATTTTTTAGTAAGAGCCACACTATATGTAACATATAGCGATCATTTCATCTTTGTTTAACATTGGCAATTTTTTATTGAGAAATAAAAATATAGCCTTCAGTTACCAACAAGGTTTTATGATTCACTGTGTGTTATATATACACTCCGTCATATATCTATGTCTCTTATTGGAAAGCACCTGATTCTATCGATTTCCGAGTTCGAGGAAATAAAGAAAGAAAAAAGGAGAAGAGAAGGAGCAAAAAGAAATATGAGAGAAAAGAGAGCACAAAAGAAAAAATAAAGGAGGAACAGAAAAGGAAAAGGAAACGAAGAAAAACTGGCTATTACACAATTTTTTGTAATTGCGCGGAGACAGATTAATTCTAATACCATTAGAATTAATTCTAATTAATCAAATTGTCATTAGAATTAATCTGTCTCCGATTATTTGGGAGAACTTTTAATACCGATACAAGCGCGATGTGTGTAAGGAATAAAAATAACTTTGTCTCAGATTTTACAACACGATCCTCGCAGTTTTCCTCGCGCATGATACACACCTGTTGCGGCGGATGTGTCTCGACTCGAGCCGGCGCTTCTCCGGAAGGTTTTGCAATGACTGGCGCCCATGCTGCAGCCGTACGCGAACTGTCGACAAGACTGAGAGTCGAAGAACGTGAGAGAGGCCGTGCTTACGAATCGACCATGATCGTCTGTTGTGCGTGTGGATTCTCGTGATCTACAATCGTGCGAGCGTACATACGCGACCTTGAGATATTCGTGGTGGCGGCGGTATTTCGATTCTCATTGAAGACTTTCACATTTTGCGATCGAGATATACTCCTATGGCTGTCGGTTCGTCACTCGCTCTCCGGTCTCTCGACAGAAAAAACGAGATTCTTTTAAGAATCAGCGTGAAACAATGACCTGTAGGAATTCTAATCATTCGCAAATGAACTCAAGAAACCGCACCGATAAGATTATCGTGACTCATTCTGTTACGTTCTGTTACGACACACTTCTTTTTGAAGGAAAGAGAACGAGAAGTATACTCGCCGGAATTGCTTATCGGGAAGTCGCTCAAATCCGCAGGCGCAATGAGAATGCTCTGTGGATTGATTTCGAAGAGACGCTCAATACTTTTTGCTAATTATTTATGGACCGCTTCTCTTTTTTCGGAAAACTTTTATTTGACATTTTTTAAGAAGGATGACAACGTATATATTGTAGTAAAATTTAGATTATTTTTATATTAATGAATTTTTATCTTAATGAAGAAGCTAAAATGCTTTGTTATATCGCTGACATTATTGCACGTTCATTGGTTATGTAGATAAAAAAGATCAAGCAAATATTGAGAAAAGATATCGTCGATGACGTTATGAGAACAAAAAAGTTTTAGCGAATTTGATTGGATTCATTCAGTGCGCACTGATGGTGCACATTAAAATCGTCGTAAGTTAACTTAAAGGTGTATTTATTAATAAATAAAAAACCGGCGAAATACTCAATACACTTTATTACGCTGTTAGATAAAATATGTAATTCGAAATATATATTTACATTTCACTTTTACACTCAAATTAAATCAGTGTACAACGACTTTAATATGCATTTTTGCGCATTAGAGCGTCTAATCGAATTTGCTATTAAAGTGTCACATTGATCGATTTTGGATCGAATTTATGTAATTTTTATATATGTGTATTATTTTGATTTTTGCGTTTCTCCTTGGGTTATGAATTTGCTCAACGAAATCAATGATCAACGAATCATTTAAAGATATAAAAAATTGTTTTTGATTATGTTTGCATAGATATACTATTGTACAATATTTAATGTTTTTTTTTATATTTATATTTTTTTAGGTTTTTAGAAGGAATTTAAATTATTCTAATGTTTATTGTAATTAAATTAATAATTTAAATTATTCTTATTTTTTTTTCTATGCATGGTAATACAAGATATAAAATAATTTTTATTATCGATGCTCCATAATAGCGTTAGCAATTACACCGAAATCCGCCAGATATCGCGACAATGCAGTTTCTCGCGTTTATTTCCGATGATGGACGGACTGATCCGCAAGGCGCAAAGTCATAAAGTTTAATGAACCCCAGTGAACCCAATGGATCTGGGCATGTATATATTATGGAATTATTTAGAATGGATCGGAACTATTCAATTATATTCCCTATATTTTTATTATATTTTCTAGTAAAAACAGATTAATTTCGACCAGAATCTATTCCGAACAATTCTATAATACATATATAATACTTTGAGGATCAAAAGTGAGCAAATGCAATAGATGTTCAATAAAATATTATAAATATTCTAATGACTTTGCTCACTTTTGTAATTTTTATCTCGCTTCAAGGTATACACAATCAATCCTCTGATCTCACATACTGCAAATGCACACATTCATACTTTTATACATTGCGTACATCTGCATACATAATTTTTTACGAACAATAAATCTATGAACATACGAGGGTTTTAATAATATTATAAGAATGCGAAATACAAGAATAATAAAAATAATAATATAGATAGAAGTAAGAATAAAATAAATAAATACCGCGTTTGATGTTGAAGGGCACGGGATGAAAAGAATTAACTAATTTTTATTCTTTGCGAAAGGGATTTGTTTCTGGCTCTTCCGCGCGAAAATCTATGCTTTGTAGTTTTTTGTACATTTATTTCAAGGAAAATAATCTCTTTATTAGACTCTGCAGATTTTATTGTACTCCCCCAAGCTCTTTCCATTTCGCGCGAAAGATTAATGACATAAAAACGAATACAAAGTAAATAAATAATAGAAATAAATGAATCGAATAACGAATGTAGAGATCAAATATTGAATAAGAAAAACGAGAAGTAAAATGAGAAATACAATACATACAGTATTTTTTAAGTTATAAATTTATTCCCCATAAATTTCTTACAATTTTTATAATAATTACTATAGAGATTTGATCATATAAGAATAGGTGTCAAGATTGAAAACTAACATGACGTTTTTGCATATGAAATTGTTGCGGTTTACGACGAAATGTTGCAACTTCATGTATTAAGACACTTGTGACGCCATGTGACTTTAATCTTACAGACTCGAAGATATTTTTAATATTAATTAACGAAGCTACGATCGCTCGTATCTCGTGTAATGAAGTAAGTTTTAAGTATGTTTTTCTAGACTAAGTAAGTCTTAGTTTAAACGCTCTTTTTCCAGACTACTACTTGAATTGTTAATTTACTTAGAAACATAATGAGAACTTGATATGTTTTACAACGTATTTTTAATTAGATTTTATAATATATTTTAAATTAAATTATATGTATATATATATATGTATATACGTATAAAAGATTGGCTTCTCTATGCATTTTGGGTTTTTCCCGTTGAATGAAATCGATTGCAACGCGATCGATATCGCGTGAATGGAAAAACATTGATTTTTGATTCGCAACGAAAATTAGAAGCGATCATTCTACGGCTGCTCGACTACTCTTTGTTCTGAGCTCGTATATCAAAGCGAGATGCGCTTACGCACAGATCATAGGTTTCTTGCGTCTCGACAAAAGGACAATTACATCTTTGCGAAGTGAAGAAAACCGACATCGACGCTTCTTTTCCTTCTGATTCGTATCGAAATGTTTTAATTTTTAACGTGCTCCATCTCCGCGATTCCCATCTTCTAGCGAAAAGGAAGGGGATCACGTGTGCATGAGATTTAAGTAGTAACCATTAAAGTCTTTAAAAGAGACGTTCGGTTCAACGACGCATGAAAAACGGAGCAGCGCGCGGCCGGCGTACATGTAATATAGGGGTAGTAAGAGTAAACGGCACGGCTATTTAATTTGTGCCCAGCGGCGGCGACGGCGGTGACGGAGCGGGGAAGCGACAGTAGTGGTGGCAGCCGGGGTGGCATAAGGTTACTATGCGAACCTCTCGCTCTTTGAAGTCGGTGGTTGATGGCGGTTGATCGCCCCGCACCTCACCACCGCTATCCCGATGTGGGCTTGGCGTGTACGCACTGAAGACTGCCGTTGAAACGCAACCCTCCAAACGGTGGAGAACCTCGAGGGTCTCGGGAGAAGGAAAATGAGGTGTGAGAACGATGGTCTTGCGTGCGAAGCTTGAACCGATGTGCATCATTCGCGTTCCTTTCAGTCTTTTCCGATGTTTGAAAAGATCGTACGCGTTTTGTTCGCACTTACACATGCAGAAAAAAATTGTTAAAACAGCTCAAAACTATACTGATTCAGCAAATCTACAGCTAACATACGGACAGCTATTTTTCTATGTTAAATTAGCAAAGTTGTATAAGTGAATAAAATTAGCGATTATAGATATATAATTATATTTGTTGCAGTAGTACAACAAATTTGTTAATACAATGAAGATAACTTTCTACACGAAATCAATTCAATATATAGATCAAAATTTTTAATAAAACTTGCTAGTCAAGATGACGCATATTGTAATGAAAAAAAGTTGTTATATTAACAATTTTTATTGTAGCAAAGAATTAGCTAAATGAGCATACTGATAATTGCTTACAGGTATAATTTCTTTGTCAAACCATTAAATCCTTTTAATTATTGTATATATTGAAAAAAATAAATTTTGATGTCAAAATGAAAAACTAAGGCTAATGAGAGCAATTCGCTGTTGTTAGTGCGATAAAATATAATTTTTAATAAAAATAAGAAAAATTCAAATCTAGAGTCGTTTCGGCCAGGATGTCGGTGACATCTAAATCGTTAAGATTATTTGTGACATCTAAATTTGAAATTTTGTTTTAACCATTGATTTACGAATTTGACTATTTGAACTTCTTATTATGTTAATTTAAGACGATTGAATGCTGAATCATGGCTGTGTGGGTGAGTGTTGTTTTCTTAGTTCATTCTATACAATTTATTACAAGTTCTCAATTTTATTTAGATTCTGGTCTTCTACACTTATATATATGACATTCAAACCATGTTGAGACGGTTGGAAGGCTAGGAGAGCAAGCATTTCTTACACACCCATGATATATTAGATGAATTTTTGTTAAGTGACTACTGAAGATGGCCCGGATGTAGGGGTATGTTAAGTTAGCACCCCTACTATAGTACTCAGAAGTTCTAATTAGAGTTCCCACTTCCTTTTGACGAGACGAAGAGTTCCCTATAGTTAATAACAAGAGTTCCGCTCAATAAACACTTTTTTTACATTTTTTAAAAATGGGTTGCTAACTTTTTATCGAATTTCGAGGTGGAATAGTTCTGAGCGGCTTAATAGCTTCAATTTGCGATTGCCTAGAGTTCCTGACATGTAAAAAAAAATTTCGAATATCAAAAAAAAAATTAAAAATTTTTGAAAAATTAATTTTTAGATACAATAATTCTAATGACAATTTCTGCTTCTTTTTGATGATACGAAGAGTTCTCTATGATTTTTAATGACATATGCGCTTAATAATCATTTTTTAATAATTTTTTAAAAATGGGGTGCTAACTTTTTAACAAAATTCAAGGTCGCATAGTTTTGATCAGCTTAACAGAAGTATTTCGTGAATACCTAGAGTTCTTGATACATAAAAAACATTTTTGAAGAATAATAAAGTTTAAAAAAAATAGTAGAAATCTTTGAAAATTTTTTTGAGAGTACCGAAGTACCGAGTAGTTCTGAGTAGCGT